GTGTCATCAGGGCGTGGGAGTTGAAGTCATCGAGAGAAGCCAAAGAGTATCTCAAAAGAGATGAATAAAGAACAGGGTCAAGAAACTTGGACTTGCCAAACCTTCGTTTCAAGTCCGCACGCATGCACACACACAGCCCCGCATGCAGCGGTGCATGCACTGCCCAGTGCATGCATGCATGCGCTGCATGCATGCGCTGCATGCATGCACTGCGTGCACGCATGCATGCACGCAGCTGAGCCTCTTAATGGCCTCTAAATTCGCACTCTTAACAATTATAAGAGATTTATATAATAGAAAAATTACACATTTTTTAGTGCAATTGTAATTAAGAAATTAATAGGTGATAAGAAGCTAGAAATACCAGATAAAGCTCTACCTTTTACAGGTTGTTGCATTAATTCATTTATTTATAAAATTTAGTTTAGGATTTCCTGTTTCAAAATATTGTTTAAAACTTTTTTCACATTTATGAGCGAGTCGAAATCCTTTTCACATTCCTCTGCAAGAGAGGCACCGGAAGAAATGCAAGAACTGCTGCAGCGGAGAGGCAGAGGTAGAAAAGGATTTGAAGAGGAAAGTTAAAAAAAAACGAAAAAGCAAAAAACGCCAAAAGATGAAAAATGAATAAAAAAAAAGAAAAGACAGGCTCAGCGGCCAAATAGGAGCAGAATGAAAGTCAATGCCCTACTTAACTCATTACCCAATTATCTAATTAACGAATTAATTAATGAATTAATTAAGTAATTGATTAATTATTTCAATTGCATAATTAGTTAAATAAATAATTAATTTATTGAATCAAATTGTCTTTTTAAATGTTGCAACAGCGGCATTTACGGCCACGCCACAGTCAATCTACCTTTCGTGGGCCAAGCTTTAAACCCTAAACCCTGAACCCTAAACCCTAAACCCTGAACCCTAAACCCTAAACCCTAAACCCTAACTCAAGTCTAGAATCTTACCCGTAGAAAAGGTAGCCCAGCTGCTGCGGGGTGCAACTGTCTGCCACTTGCTGCGCCCGTCGAGAGAAGCCAAACCTGAACTCAAGAGCGCCTAAACCCTAAACCCTCGCGCGTAAACCCTCAACCCTAAGCCCTTCAGCCTAAACCCTAAACCCTAAACCCTAAGCAGCAAAGCTGTGGGCCCCAGCTCCTGCTCCGTGAGCTGCCCAGCCTCCGCAGGCAGCAGCACACACCAAGCCGCAGAGCCCGCAGCCCTGACGCCAAGGCCTAAACCCTAAACCCTAAACCCTAAACCCTAAACCCTCACCAGAGAGCAGCATCGTGCTTGCGCAAAGTCGCAGCTTTCTGCACCGCAGCGCTGAGGTAAGCTGGACTCATTTCTCTTGGGTCTGCATGCAGCGACACCTTTTGAGGCAGCCAGTACTGACGCACTCTGCACATACAAACACAGCCACAGACCCCTAGCTAGCCAGCTAGCTAGCTAGCCAGCTAGCTAGCTAGCTAGCTAGCCAGCTAGCTAGGTAGCCAGCTAGCGAGCTAGCTTCACACCGGCGCTCTGTACTACTACAGGCTAGGCGGCAGCATGGAGTGTCAAGTGCCGGAGGTTCTAGCTAGCTAGTTGGCTAGCTACCTAGCTGTCTACAGGGATAGCTAGCTGGCTCGCTACCTCGGTAGCTCGCTAACTAGCTAGAATGGTAGCTAGCTAGCTAGCCATTTGGGTAGCTTCCAGCCATAACGATAAAGGCCTAGCAATCAAGCAGGGCTACGGCGAGGGGAAACGGCATAAAGGTGCTGAATAACCAGCTTCTAGCCAGCTAGCCAGCTAGCTAGCCGGCTAGCTAGCCGGCTAGCTAGCTAGCTAGCTAGCTAGTTAGCCAGCTAGCTGCAGGGCCAGGTTACCTGTGCTGCGACCAGCTGCGGAAACGCTTGTGCATGCGGCGGCCCCTGTAGCGAAGGCGGCTTTCCGCAGCAATGGCGGCCCTGAGGAGCTTCTCTCGCGGCCTTAAAAGAGCCATCCTAAACCCTAAACCCTAAACCCTAAACCCTAAACCCTGAACCCTAAAGCCTGAGGCCTGAGGCCTGCGCCCAACGCCTCGGTCTCCGGCACACTGCTGCGGCTAATATCTTGGTTGTTGAGGCAGCGCTGCTGCTGTTAGTGCTGCAGCACCCTGCAGCAGCGGCAGCTGCAGCGGTGGCAGCTGCAGCTGCAGCAGCGGCAGCTGCAGCAACAGCTCTAGCGAGCAGCTGCAGCACTCGGCAAGGCTCGACAAGTTTTGTGGAAAAGCCGAAGGCCGGCGCTGTTGTGCTTCCTGCTGCTGCAGTTGCTGCTGAGCCTGCTGCTGCTGTGGGCGCTGCAGCAGCAGCTGCAGCCCGAATTTTGGCTTACAGGCAAGCCCGCGGCTGGCCCAGGGACTTGAGGCTTTGCTGCTGTTATTGCATTTGCTGCTACCGCTGCTGTTGTTTCTACCACTTTCGTTGTTGCTGCTGCTAGTGTGCTTCTGGGAGTGCAGCAGCAGCAGCAGCAGCAGCCGCTGCTGCCGCCGTTGCTGCTGCAGCAGCAAGGAACTGTGAAGCAGGAAGACAGACGCCGTCGTAGCCGCTGATGCGCCTGCAGAGAGGCGGTATTTGAAGATCTAGGGTTTAGGGTTTAGGGTTTAGGGTTTGCGGCTAGGAGTTCCGGGAACAGCGTCAAGCTCCCTTTGTATGGCTGCACCGATTCTGCAGTTAGTGTTCGGAGTTTGTTGCTCAGCGTAACGTCAATGTAATCCAGCAAGAAGCTGAAATAATGTAAAAAAAAACAAATTTTGTAGATAATTTACAATGTGCTTTATTTATTGCATGCAGGCTGCTAAGCCTCGCGAGCAAGGCACAGACAACTTCGGGGCTGGGGCCCCGGCCCCCAGTAGAAACGCTAAAAATATGTCTCGATCATAGAAGGAACTGACTTTGTTTTGGTTTATTTTTGCTTTTATTAATTAATTTTAACAAGAGAAAGTAAAACAAATGTATTTGGGTGGCCCTTCCCTTAGCCTTAATAGTACTGAAACCTTTCAGGGGCTGCTGCTACTCTTGCCTAGCTAGCTATTTAAAATTAATCATAAAGGAAAAAAATATTAAGGTTTTCATGGAGCTGCTTTGGTGGCTTTTTATTTCTTGCTGTGTCGTGGCCAAGCCTCGCATTTCATATTTCTGGGCACAAGTTGTAGTGCAAATAAAGCAATCAACTGCATAAACAAACGCATGTGAACGTTTGTGCCAGAAGTATGTTTTATATATACGCTTTACGAAATTTCATTCACAGTCTTTCATTCAAGGTACATATACCTATAGATATATCTTTCTAGCTTTTGAATTTCTCTGTGTGTGTTTCATTTCCACATACATGAATATATGTATGCCACGGGCAAAAGCCACATAAATGTAGTTTATACATACACTAGCTATGCCTATTACATATATACGCTTTCTTTTGTGCTTGAAATTCATGAATGATAAATAAACGTGTACAAGCTGGCCGTGTGAGTATAGGGTTGCAAACGCATCCCTATTTCATGTATTGCTGCTGCACACAGACTCCAAACAATTAAATAAACGTATTCTTAACTTGGAATAAAATTGTCGTACTCATAATTTGTGGCGCTTATTACTCACTAGTGCTTCTTAGTTTTTGTAGTTGGAGAAGGAAGAAAAAGCAACGTACCTTTGCTAACAGCGTTGGTTCGTCTGCTACTTTTATTCCTTTTCTTAAATTTTGAAACTATGAAAAGTTTTGACACTTTAGGCCCATTAAATCATTAAATTGTGCAGCATCTATCACACAATGTTACAAACATGATGATGCAATAAGAGCTCACGCTGTTCGTGATTGGGAGAAAGTCATGAACGGCGGAGAAGACAAATTTCAGTTGAAGAGTCTGTTGGTTCGCCTTTAGCAATCACATACGATTTCATTTTTTTAGAAAAGTCAAAGGCCTTTTTGTTGCTTATTAAACGCATAAACGCGAACAAGATTCTCTGAATTGCTAATGAAGCAGCTCGAATGAACATCTCCAACTGTACTTTTGCAATTGATAAGCGGAAAATGACTCAACACCTCCAATCAAAACAACATAGATGGTCCTGTATGGCATTAAACATGAAATCCAATGTTGGGCTTTACGGGCTTGTTTAGTGAAGGAAGAAAAAGAAAAACGGTGGAATGAGGGATTTCAGAAGTCTGCAAAAGAGAAAAGGGAATCAAACAAAATGAAAGGAACAGAAGAGCAAACGAGAAATCCGCTAAGCACTTGAAGCAAGGCAAGCACAAAGATAGGATAGATGAAGAAGCGGGGTGCATTCAACTTGTAATTTTTTCAGATTGGAGCCCGAAGAAACATAATTACTAGGATACAAAATTAATCTGCATTAAGTTATTTCAGCTTAATTGACCTTCAGCTTGTTGGGCTGCTGAAAACTTCGCAAAAAGCTCCAGAGTTTCCACAACTTCTGAAGATGCTGCACTATTGCAGAATTCTTATTGGGGGAGAGTGGGGAATTAAGGGCAGCAGCAGCAAAGACCTGTCGGATCGAAACTCAAGTCTTTGCGGAATTCAGTTTGCTGCAGCAAATTAGACGAAGGCCCGAAAAAAAAGTTTATAAGTTAGACTTTCGGGCTTTTAGACTGAAGGTTTAAAAGTGCTGCAAAGGCAATCCACAGAATATTGGACCCAGCCCCTTTGCCAATCTTTTGATTGCATTTCCTTTTTCGAATTCTCCTGAGTGCCTAATTGTTCTATTTCTCTCGTTTTTTCTCATTTTTGTTTGCTAGAGAACTATCAAATGCTTTTACATGCTTTCCTTAGTGAGTTTTTCGATATAAGAGGAAATTGCCTCTATTCGTTTGCTGCACTGCTTCTTTCATTTAGATGCTGCTGCTTCTGCATTCTTTCTTCGCTTTCTGCTTTGCTATTTTTTGCGTTTCTCTCTTTTCCTGGCTGCTGTTTCTGTCACGTTGTTTGCTTACCATTCACCAATTCCGCATTTTATTCCTGCTGTGCATTTTCAGCTGCTAGTGCTGCTACTGCTGCTGTTGCTGTTACTGCTGCTACTGCTGCTGCTGCTACTGCTGCTGCTGCGGCTACTGCTGCTTTCGATGCTGCTGCTACTGCTACTGTAGGAGCCGCCACTGCTGCTACTGCCGCTATTGCTGCTGCTGCTGCTGCTGTTGCTGCTGCTGCAGCTGGTAAGAGTAAAACTAAGACGTCTTAATAAGTTGGAAAATTAACTGTTTATCATTCGAGAGTGGGGGTCACTCCAGGCCGATAGTTCAGTTGGATAGAATGCCCGGCTACGGACCGGGTGGTCGTGGGTTCGAATCCTGCTCGGCCTACTTTTGCCTTTTGAACTTGAATTAAATCAACTGCTCAATCGTTTTATCTTGATTTTTGAGTTTTTAACAAATTAATTGAATCAATTTCTTCATTTGCGAATTAGTTTGTGGAAGCATGGAGTCCTAAAGGCGTTGAGTCAGCAGCAACTTAGCAATGTGCTTTGCTACTGCGCATTTATTTCCTTCAGCAAAGTGAACACAAAGGAGGAGAAGCAAAATAAATGAAAAAGAACTTAGCAGAAAATCTAGCTTGAAATGCCTTGGGCACTCAGGAAGAATTCTCCTAAGCCAGCTTGCTAGCTAGCTAGCTAGCTGGCTAGCAGGCTAGCTAGCTAGCGGCTTTCATCGCTTCGCACAGGCAGCTCACGGCTACGACATCCACACAGGCAGGGAGTGGAATAAAATGTTTTGAGTTGCTGCTTGCCGTGCTGCTATAAACAAAGCAGCAGGC